CATGATATAAGTAGGAGGCTGACTAATTTTTTATGCAATGAAAGTTTGATACTGAAATCATTATTGAAGATTCAGGGTCAGTCTAGAACTTTAAAAGGTCCTAAATCTGTCATGCTAGAAACCACTGGGGGGTCTATAGCTGAATAATTTTTAATGTTACTAATTAAGACCAATAGTAATTCTAAAATCCACGTTTCGATCCATCGTATTCTATTATGTGGAACTTCTTTTCACCTCAGTTTCGTGGTGACGTTCTTCATATTACTAACCTAAGTTATCTACAACATTATTAAACAGTTCAATCACTGGAACTAGCCCAGAAGTTCTAATCGTATGATGTAATAAAGTACGGAGGAACTTACGTGAGTCATCCACTCAGGACATCGGTTACTCGTTACTCGTATTTACATCTGATTGTGACGTCACGTTTTTACCAGTCCTCCCCCTATTCGTGCCCCCACCCATCCACAATCAGGCACGCACTTAAAGTATCATTGGTTGATTAACATTCATTTTTGAAGCATATAAGTTCCGAGATACTGAATATGTTTAACGTCCAAAAATGTTTCCGAGTATGATACTTTACAGAGTTGCAGTTATACTAAAAGGACAAAGTTTATAGATATATGGTAATCTTTGTGTACTCAAATGCTATTGATATTTGATAATGTTTTTGAACATGAAAAAAAAAACAGTTATAAGACAAGTTCATACTGCTTAACCTCTTTAACTCATGGTTGCTGAGTAATAAAACGTTTCTTTGAAGATGTTCCGTAACGTTTCATACGCTACGTGATGAATTTCCTTGCAAATATAATTCAACAATGGTACCTTCAGCAACAATATCATATGATAAAGGTATAATCGTTATATTATCTTTGTTGAAGCTTTGTTGCTAAAGTATAAACTTTTTGTCGCCATGATAAAGGGTATTCTTTTTTTTGGGGGGGGGGCTTAATTCCTAAAGCTTATTTTATTATGTTTTCTTTGTTATAGCTCACATTGTTATTTACTGACTTTTCTGCCAGTCCTTACAGCATCGCTAAAACTTTTTTTTTCTGGTATTTTTGTGAATGCTTCTATCATTATGTTTTTGTACATAAAGCTGACAATATTTATAGCCATTTAATTTCGATGATATAATTGCTAATGCTTATATCGTTATGTTTTGTACATAAAGTTGATATTGTTGATAGATATTTCAACAAAAAATTAACTCTTGCAGATGTATTAGATGTTTCCAGTTCATTCATCAGTTATAACTTTTGCAGATGTATTAGATGTTTCCAGTTCATTCATCAATTATAACTCTTGCAGATGTATTATATTTTCTAGTTCATACATTAGTTCCAACTCTTCACCACTAAAAGAGGTTCTAAATTGTTCATAATTTGTAACTTCAACATTTTCCTAACGGTTATTTTGGGGGCACACCCATGAGCGGTCAGGGATAAAAATCTCTCTTCAACCAATTATAATAGCTATAAAAGCAAAATAGGACTTAACGATTCAGTAACATTGGTACTTGCCAACTGGACTTCTGCTACAATGGGCCTCAGGGCTCATGTTAACATAAAGCCCGATAATTGTGCTTAATTGATAGAAAAATGTTGAAAATACTAGTTTTTTTATTCGATTGTAACTAGTCTACACTCTTAACATTCCTTACCGTATATGTCTCTATGTTCTAGGCTTCTGATGGGCTTTCTTTTTTTCACCGCACGCTCCTATCACATCGCGTACCTATCAAATTGTTACAAAATAATTAACGTTGCACTTTTTAATTCATGAGAAGGGCATGACAGCCAAGATGCACATTTTGAGTTTAGTCAACCAAGTTATCCAGAGGCTTTATCTGTGTATAGTCTGATTTATGGTGCTAAGTGCTAACTATTTCTTCCAGCTGTATCACGTTAAAATCAATGAATTGTTGTTGCAAATGGATATATGTGTTATATATTAAACCTATATCGAAGAAATGTTTTATTTAGTTGTTTACTTCAGATGCTCTATAACCTGCCTCGGTTGTTCAAAATATAGGAAGCTAACTTTTAAGTCCAAGAGAAGTAGGTGAAAAACCAGGGTCTTCTTACAGAGACCTTGTTGTTTGAATCTTAACAAAGGGGCTCATAAAACACAAGAGTCAAATGTACCCTACTGCGTGAATAATATGTACAGAGAGTTAAACATGCTTATATAGAGACTGTGTGAACAATATGTACAGAGAGGTAAACACGCTTATATAGAGACTGTGTGAACAATATGTACAGAGAGGTAAACATGCTTATATAGAGACTGTGTGAACAATATGTACATGATGTTAAATATACTGTATAGAGACTGTGTTCAGTAATATGTATGCAGGGTCAAACATACTATATACAGATTATTGAATAACGTATACAGTGTTAAAAATATTGTATACAGGTTGTTGAATAACATAGGTCTGCAAATTTAAACTTCATAAAAGTTGTTTTGCTTTTAATAATGGATTTCCCATAATTCAGCTACGCAGATTTCGAAAATGATATTAATTTTTTTATCACGTAAGGATTTTTTACAAATTGGGAAGAAAAAACTCTTACTTAGATCAAATTAATATTTCGTTTACCACAATGAATAGTTTGTATTATTATGTTTGTT